CGAATGACTCATGGTAACAGTTACCGGCTTCTTAAAATGGCTTTCTTTCTTGTGGTAATACATGTATTGGTTTGTTTATAATGTATGCGTGTACACAATCAATCATTAATTTTGAAAGCATGCAAGATAACATTCTTTGGGTAAATCAACGGAAAAATAATATTGTCGATTATAGCTGAAAACCGAATAATCAAAGATTTAACCTTATCGTGTTTTAACGATAAACTTTTTAAACTCAGGAAACAAGAAGTTTTTCCTACTTAATAGAGTCATACAGTACGTGACGTACAATATCCACAATGTCTTATAAAACTTTCTCTTAACCACATGGTAGTTGTTGACCACTTCATATAAATATTAGATAGCCCTCTACAAAAGTTAAATGAATAGTTCCAGTCTGCAGGAACTAAATCAAGTTTGCTTTTTTAAATAGAAACATTCGAGCGGTCTTTAACGCAGCAGCGGAAAATGATTTTTTTAATTATTCAAATGATTTCTTATTGGTTGAATTGCAACTGCGAACAATAGCATATCGGCCATTTCCATAAACAATCTGGAAACAAAGTGATCCCTCGAATTCATTAATCACAACAAAATTACATGAAAATTGCAGACTCGGTTTGAGTCTGTACATGAGGGATAATGAATAAGTGCAACATCCCTCACGCCCCCTAGCACCGGCTTGAGCGGTACTCAATTCTGGCGTAAATTTTCGAATAAGCTCTAATTATGAAATATCGGCGAGGTGTTCCGAAGGTAAAGCTGCGGCAAAAGTTCGGTACACGGTTTATGATTTAAAACGGTATGAACCACTGTTGTAACGTAAATGATATTTTCCGATTTTTCCTTATACCGACTTGTTAACCTAGATGTTAATTTTTAGTTTTTGAAGCGGAAGTAGCGAAATTTCTTTAAAGCTCAAAGGTTATTTTCAGAAATATTCTCTATCTATCATTCAGGAGGTTGCCTTTATTAGTAAACATAACCATAACGTATCGAAGTTACTTCTATCATAAAGCAAACTGTGCTGAATGGATGTATTGCATTGTTAGAGCATTATGATTGGACAAGTAATAGAAAGAGCACCGAAACACGTGGCTATCTGATTTGTACGAGGGGGCGTAGCCCGCGAGTATTAATCAGATTGCCGAGTGTTTTGGTGTTCTTTCTCTTTTGTATCATATTCAAACATAAATGCACGTTCCCTGTTGTCGCAAAATGAAACCCCGACAAAAATGAACCAATGAACGAACATCTAAATATGACATTTCTGTCGCTTTCCCTTTCTCTGCCGTCACAATATGTAAACCCCAGCAAAAATGAGCCAATCAATGGGCATGCTTTGGAGTGCGGGTAACTAATACCCGCACTCCAGTTAACGCACTGTGAATGTATATGTATACGATTTAACCCTGACACATTTTCAACAGAAAGGTCTCCAAACTATGATACAATTGTGTAGTTACCTTGTAATTGTATGTACACTTTGATACCAGTCTAACGATGTAAGTTAAGTGATGTAGTGAACAATATGTTGAGCACGTTAAATATCATAAAGCGTGTAAGAAAAATAAATGACCTAACAAATAATTTTAAAGCGGTTCTAAATAAAAAGAGGAATACCGAATGTAGACATTTAAAAGGGGTGAAAAACGATCCAAAAAACGAGTTAAATGAAGACCATGTGGTTGTAGCTGTTCTGTTAATATTGTTTATAGTAATTATAAATGTGGTATCAATTCTAGGATATATCGTTTATCAGGAATGGATATTTAATGAAACAAAATTGATCGAGGATTTTTCTGTACCATGTTCATCAATGTCTTTAAGCCCAGATGAAGATTATGTAACATTTGACTTGAATAAAAGTGGTATTAAAACTTTCATTGATGACAAGGGAAACTACATTTGTAATAACAAGAATTTAACAGAAATACTCCAAACGGTAAAATTTCTTAAAATTAAACTTAACTTTTTTAAATTGACCAATTTTTCTGATTAAGAAAAGGCACATGCAAAGTTTATTTCATGAGTTTAGGGAGCTTTGCACTTAAAATGGTGGGACAAAAGCACATTATACATGTTTTATAATTATGTAAATCATTAAAATATCAGGAAAATAAGTAGAGACAATCATTGTACAATTAAAAGGAAGACTATGATTATTTTCTGGTTTTCTTTGTCTCTAGCATTGAACAATTATTTAGTATATAATTTCCTTTTTATTTCCATTTTAATAATTAACATAAAATTTCAAATTTTCATGCATTTATATATACATTGTCATTGATAAATTTTGTCATAGATTGTGGAAAGAGTATGTAGAACACAGATAGCTTTAGGTAAATATCTTTTATTTATTTATTTCAAGTTTAATACCTACCTATATGGCCGTAATTAGCTAAGAAAATACCCATTTTTTAAACATTAAAATTAAATTATAACATATTGATATTGATGACATTTTCAAAGTAGGACAACTTCTATTTTAGATGTCTCTTACTTGTTTTATGTTTGACTTTTGTAATAATTTACAAATTAACTTAATTTAAAAAACTATCCTCATTCCTATGACATTTTATTTTAGACCTATCCTTCACGTTTCATTCTATACTTGCAAAACTATTCCTTACATTTTATTTTAAGCTATCCTTAAAATTTTATTTTAGAATGGTAAGAACTATCCTTTACATTTTATTTTAGAATTTTACGTTTTATTTTAGATTGACCAATGAGATTCACCGATTTCAGTTTATAATTTTAAAATGACCAATGAAAATTCTTCTTCTAATATTCAGTCCTTCCCTGTTAATTTTACAGAACAGGAATTATCTTACACAATCCTATAATACTACATTGAAGTCCTAGACAGATAACAGATAAACGGATAAGTGTAGCTTTATCTAAATGTCAGTGCTGCTTTATCTAAATGTCAGTGCTGAACCCGTTAGGTGTTTTAAGACACATAAACCCTCAGATTTTCCTCTCAAGAGAAGACAAAATACATTTTAAAAATTTATATATAGAGTTTGAGAATGTTTAGATGCTTAAAACGTGAAGAAAGTGGTCCTGAATGTGTTATAATTTTAAAAAGTAGAACAATGTAAACAAAATAGTAGTTTGTCTTTCCTACTAAAACACTATTTATTACCTCAATATATCCTTCAATGTAAAACTCCCATAGGCCTATTATGTGTTCTGATTGAATATCATCCTCCTAGGATTTATTTCCCATATCACCCAAGGGCACATAACTCTTGCATAAATTCATATCCAGTAAATTGTTAAGTTTAACTAGAAATTGTTACAATATTTTTTTTCAACTTTATATAAAAATGTATAAAACCATTCTTGAACCGTTTTTTTAGTTTATTGTTTGAGGAAAATTAAATTGCAAAAATGATGATGACTATTTTATTTATTTCCTTGACTCTGTGTACTTTATAAATATTGTAGTTGTAGGTCTTTCAGTATAGTAAAATAAATAACGCATGGCTGTCGGGGTGATTGATGATATTGCCAACCCTTGAACTGGCATATTACCCCTTGGCTGCGCCTCGAGTAATATACCAGTTCTCGGGTTGACACTATCCTCTATCACCCCGACAGCTATGTGTTATTTATATGATATTTGTTATGGTCAAAAGAAAAAAAAGCAAAGAATGGTCTATGTATTATGGCTTAATAGAACCACTTTTGAACTGATAAAGTAAGTACACTAACTTTTATGAAATAAAAACAACAACATGCACTTTTGGGGGCTTAATGGGCCTTAAAGATAACTTGGTCACTCTAAAGTATAACAGAAATTGAAAAGTAAAACTGAGTAGAGTTATTTTTACGAATGCATAATGCAATTTCTTGAAATGAATTAATTTATTAAATTTTAAACTATCATCTGTTTTTGTGTGATAATTTGCTAGAATTAATTCTTTAATATTAAAGATTTTTTCAATTTGTTACCATGACAACATACTTAATTAAGTTTGTCTATTGTATAATCATGTCATTCTTCATTAATATGCATGAAAGTGCCATACGTTCCGGTGTGTTTATCTTAACGTGACTTTCATTTTACTACTCCGTTGCCATGTCAACAGAACCATTTAACATTGATGTCTGTCAATTCTATTAAATCATGAAACCCAGAAAATATGTAAAACAATAGAAAAGGCCTAATTTTCATATTGCTCCTATTTGATGTGAAGTTCTGACATCACAAAATACTAAAAATACAAAAAAGTACTTTTTCTGTGCAATTCAGTAATCTAGAACTACTTAGAAAAACAAAACCTACGTGTTTTAACTGTACAAGCATTGTATGGTTGAACAATGGTAAACGATTCATAATCTTGAACTAATCCATTATTAATATAGACTATAGATAATACACTAGTCTACACATGAACTTACACATTGCTTTTACATGTAAATTTTTAATATTTCATAAGTTACGGAATACAATAAATATATCAGACTTGCGCATATTTTAAGTTGGACAACAATGATGTTCAGGAGTCCTTTTTCCATTGATTTCTGGTAAAATTAATAACTTCAAACCACTTGCCCCTGACCGCTGTGGGTTTGAATACCGACAGGGACTTTGAATTCTTTCATCCAGCTAGCTTACGGAACGTCTTTGGTTCAACTCAGGTGCCCGTTCATGCCTGAAATAATGCAAGGAAGGGCACTTGAGGTTTTCCTCCACCACTAAAGCCAGAACGTCGCCAAATAACCTATACTGTGTCGGTGTGAAGTTAAACCAGATCAAACAAAAATCAATTAAACAGCTAATAACACCATTTTAAATAGTAAAGAGCTTTTCAAGAAACATACAGTTAACGCTTTTGTTATTCTTATCTTGGAATCATGTACATGTATTTCATTAATATCATACTCATTTGCAGATTATTAATACAATTTCTAATTCAAATTACTTCTTTTCTGTATATTTTGATATTCTATACTCGTTTGTCATAACGGACTTTTTGACTTATCACATTGTACCTTTAGGGAAAGAGAAGCGATATCTAGCCTGTGGAAATGAAAGTCTTAGAGAACCCTCTGGATATCAGACGGTATTCTTCCGAGAAATATTGAAGCAACAAAACAGTTCGGGTATACATATCGGTTTAAAATCATTTTTTTTGTGTACTTAAAATAAACTGTACATTCATCAGATTCACCATTTATCTTCTCTTTGCTCTTGAGTCTATATTATGTTATATTGTCCTGGAAATTTATTTCAATACGTTTAATTGTTATATAGAAGTTTTTGTGTTTCGAAAGACAATGATGGCGTTATATTTCCTTTTTATTTTGTTTCCCTTGAAAGTGATTTATGAAACCTATTCTCTTCATTCTCTTTGTTTTAAAACACTTAAGAATTACCTTATTATAACATATGTACCACACATATTATAAAGTAAAGAACTCGTACTATATAAGGTAAAGTACCACTTAATTGTTAAATGCTAAGAGAAATAGCTTTTGGCAAAACCCTGTCTGCTTTATTTTTTCGTTATTATCATTTTTATCATTTTGCTTTTATACCAGAAGAATGAAGTCCAAAGAAATTGGTGAAATAGTTTAAGAAGTATTTTCATAAAAGGCGTAAGTAGCGGCCGGTCAGTGGTTATCGCGTCGGACTTGTCATCTAAATCCTACGTAACATTACAAGCGGCGACCGTCCGAGATAGTGGGATCGATGGGACACCGTTGATAATTTGAGATCGGAGATAAACATTTCAATTATATCCGAGAAGAATGGGGTGGTCATTCACCCTCTGTGGTCCGGCAGGTATTTGGACGGTTTCCGAAGGGTATTTGCCCGATCACCTTGTGAAAACCTTTGGCATCGTTTTTCTGGACACCGTTAGATATTCGTTAGGTATAATCAGCCGACTACGGTACGATTAATGTGCAATTCCCGTCAGATATCCGGTCAGTTTGAAACCATCGTGAGGTGACTATAAGGTCTACGGACAAAAGCCGTGCGATATCTTTTTTCTTAATTTCTGGGTGAAGTTCTTGCCATCTTCCCTTTTGATTTTTTTCTTCCTATCTTTGCGAGCTGATTTGGGAGGTATGTTACGTTTTGAAATCAATATTTTCTATAAAATATTGTAAATGAAACTTGAAAAAATTAAGAAATCTCTGACATGTGTGATGTAACTGACTTTCATTATACTTCCCACTGATTGCACATATGGGCGAGTCCCCAAGAAGATTCATAGTCATTTTAGATTTTCGAGGACAGTGCAAGATAGTGAGAAGCTTCTCATGTTTCTTATGCTTTTCAAGTGTTTAAGCACTCATACACGAGGACCTCAATTTAAAACCTCATCTTTTTAGTAATTTTAGTTGGCCAGCCCGGGAATCGAACCCACAAAGTCGAGATCACAAGTCTCCCGATCTAACCGATTGAGCTATGCAGACTGGCTAATGGCAGAATGGTGGTGGTGACGGTGGCAGTAGCGGTAGCAGTAGCAGTAGCAGTAGTAGTAGAAGTAGTAGTAGTAGTTTCACCTCCTGATCACGGCAGTAAGCCACCTTGAATTTAGTTAAGTCATCTTATCGTTCCTAAGCAGTATGACAAGCAACTAAACAGTACTAATTGCCTTTACTTTCGCAAGGAACTGATAAATTCTATACAAGGAAATTACCTTCACCGTCCGAGACTTGAACACGGTACGCCCAATTCACAACCCAAAGCTGTCCCTGCTCTCAGGTCTGTTTAATACCCCTACGCTATCCTTATGATGTCAATCCAGGCACCAAAAGACCTTTCGTGTAACAAACGGCGTGCCGATAACCTGCCGAGTCGCCTTCGGTGATAGCTCAGATACCGCTCGAAAACCGTAGGATTATTTACCGCAAAGGTTGTGAAAATTTTCACCAATTCATAAAAGCGTCCTTCCGGGTATCTTGCCACCGGAGGGCTCCCGGCGGTATGCCTTTTAATATTCGGCAATAGACAACGGTACCTCATCGTAAACCTAATCGGAGCGTTATGTGACGCATACATTAGGAACGCAGGCCCCCTGGGTTCAAACATTGTACGGGGGAAGCCGTGTTTCCCTTCAGTCAAAGAATAAGTACAGTCATAGTACGTGATCGATCTCTGTCTTCCAAGACACTTTGTATTTTGAAATATTAAAAGTAGTCTCTCTTCCAACATTGTCGTTTTTTATTGTTTTACCTGTTATGAAACACTTACATGGGCGTAATTAAAGTAGTGTTCTTTTGATTCTTTTCCCCGCAGACGAGAAACTGTACTGGGATAAACACCCGAGTAAATGTTACATGGATAAGTCGATTGAATACGATGATGGTGAGGTGACAATACCGGAAGGACGAGACTACTATCTGTATGCGTCGATACACTTCAATATAAGCCGCAATAACAGTAACGACCAGAAAGGGTTTCAAAGACCACAAAGAATAACAATCAGAATATGCAAATCCGTATACGGATATGAACAGACATTGCTAGGGAGATCAGAGCTTTTTGATATGACAAATACTGGTGATGTAGTTGGTAGCCTGAAAATAGAAACACATGTACATCTGACAAAAAATGATAAAATATATGTCCGTGTAAACGATGTAAGTAGAATAATACATAATTCAAAAGGTAATACCTTCGGACTGTTCCCTTTATAAGAATGGAATATGCATGCATGTGTATTTTTTATATTTTCACATGCTCTTAAGCTTACACCCTGATATTCTAGCTAATACAACCATAGACAGTTGATAATGCAGTAGCTACATTATGTGAGGCTCGATTTGCAATTTAAGTAAATATCGGATGATATACATGTTATGTAACCATACTATATTAAGACGAAATATTTGCCATTGTCCGTCCGAGCGTCCTTTCTTAAATGTTGTGTTACGTGTAGCTCTTCAAGTGCTTTAGCTTGGGTCAACAAACTTTACAATGTTGATCAGAATGTGAAGTTGTTCACCTGGGCTTTCGCGTGTAGGTTAATTCAGTTTTTGTCCTTGACTAAGTAAAAATTTGCAATTTCAATTTGTGTTGCACAAAGCTCAAAAAAGTGTTAAACCTAGAGTCATGAAACTTTACAGAAATGTAAGTCAGCATGTTTAGTATGCATCTGGAGGTTTGTTGTTGTATGTTCAGTATTTTGTAGGGTTATTAAACATATCTTGCAGATCAATTAAATATCTTCATAACTCTGTCATTATGGTATTAATCCCCTTCCCCAAAGCGCGGATGGGATGTCCGTTTGTTAGTCCGTCTGTCCGTCCGTAACATTTTCTTGTTCGCTCTGTTACTTTTAAACCGCAGAAAATCTTTTGATATAACATGGCACAAGTGATTACCATTATGAGACGATATCCAGAGCGCATTAATTGGGTTACTACCCCCACGGTCAAGGTCACACTCAAAGGTCGTATTTTCAATAATCTACATTTCGTGTCCGCTCCATAACATTTAAACCGTTGCAACGTTTTTAAGATAACTTGGCATAAATGCTCACAACACAAAAATTAAGTCACTACCCTCTAGGTCAGGGTCACACTCAAAGGTCAAATGTTAAACATCTATTTTTCATGTCCGCTCTATAACATGTTGACAATTCAAAAGTTTTTAAATTACTTGGCACAAATGATCCCTGTCATGACACAATCTGCAGAGCACAACATCCAGGTTGCTACCCCCAAGTTACATCCAGGTTGCTACCCCAATGTCAAGGTTATATTTTCTTCATACTTTTTGACTTTATGGAAGATTTGAAATACCTTAGCACAAATAATTACCATCATAAGAATATGTGTTTATATTATGCATTGCACAACATTAAGGTCATAGTTGGTTAAAGGTCAAGAAGTACACGTTCATGTCCACTGCGGAAGGGGATTTAGATGTCTCTCAGGCTCTTTAATATACTTCTATGTATGTTAATTTATTAATTATATTTTAAAGAAAATAGTATGAGTGTTGTTTTAATATCTAAAAGAAGCGTTTGTTATAACAATCAGATAATGTTTGTTATAGCACAAATTGTTTGATGATGTTGTTTTGTGTATATATTTTAGAAGGCCACATTTAAAATTAAGATATGTTATTTGTGTTTTACGATGTAGTATCTTCATGTGCTACTTTCTTTAAATAAAGATATTATTATTATTGCCCTTGACTTATTAAAAAATTTCAATTTGTGTCACAGGTAGCTCAAAAAAGATTTGATCTAGGGTAATGAAACATTTCAGAAATGTTGCTCAGCATATGTAGCTCTGCATCTATGGTTTTGCTTGTATATCTATTTGGTATTTGTAGAGGTAATGCCCTTGAGTTAGTAAAAAAACGTTCCAAAATTATGTGCTTGTGGATGTATTCAGTATATTTAGAGTAATTGCTCTCGACTTAGTAAAGAAATATCAATGATAAACTAGTATCGTGCGTAACTTAAAAAATATTTCACCTAGAGTCATGGAACTTTACAGGAATGTTGATAGTCATGTGTAGTTGTGCTTTTGAGCTTTTGCCTGTCGATTTGTGACAATTATTAATAGATTATATAGTTTGTTTTACTGCATCAATGACAATATTGAATCAATTTACAGGCAATTGGAAAAGGTGAGTTCTTAGTGTTATGGAAGGTTTCTGTTATATCATTTCTCATAGCACCTTCAAACTATTTCTAAAGAGAACTTATAGTTAGTCTTTCATTGTCATTCAGTTTTTAAGTACTTTCATATTGTATTTTCGAATATTTAGCACTGATCTTATTTCCAGTATTTTGCGCTCTGATCAATTTGTGCTCGACATTGATAAATTGTCATATGAACTTTCGTCAAGAAACTTTCCATCTGCAAGCCAAAGTCACAGGAATGTCCAATTATGCATGCAGAAATGAGGAGAATAATGTTCACAGTGTTAGAGCTGACATCTACAAACAGTAATTTAAGCCCCCGAGCTTACCTAGTGCTGAAATCATCGGCTGGTCTCAGAAAATATTTTTCATAGTTGTCAACCTTATTAATGATTTTACTTTCAAGGTATATGGCAGTATTAAGTGATCATATATCCAGCTATGTCCTATGACACATTTCAAAAATATTTTTGATACGTTTAGTTTTTACTTTTTTATTTTTACTTTTTTTTTTACAATAAAATTACCTTTAATTATTATGCTGTCTATGATTTCTTGACTTTCACTTGTTTTATTTTATCACATGATATATAATATGTGTATTTTCATCACTTTTTAAGTTTTTTTTAAATAGAAAGTTGTACCCAACAATATTTAAATGGTATAGCTATACCATAAAAAACTAAAGGGGATTTTAATACACATTACAATTGTATAAAGTGTTAAAGAATGGGAGGTTGAATATATATATATATATATATATATATATATATATATATATATATATATATATATTATATATATATATATATATATATATATATATATATATATATATATATATATATATATATATATATATATAGATATAGATATGAGCCGCGTCACGACAAAACCAACATAATGAGTTTGCGCATTCGAGTCAGGATCCATGCTGTTCGCTTACAAACCCTATTACAAGTAGGGAAACTGATAGCAAACAGCATGGATCCTGATCAGACTGCGCGGATCTGGATCCATGCTGGTCGCAAACCCACAATGTTGGTTTTGTCATGACACGGCTCATATATATATATGGTTCTTATTGTACATTATATGTAAAACAAACTATGACTCATTTATCAGACATATCATCATGATTCTGCAACTTTCTTAAACGAGTTAATCATCTAGCGTTATCAGATAAAAATTATGTTCATTAATTATATAGTACGTTGAATGGGTTTGTTGTCAAACAAAACGTCATTGTTTTTTAATTTCATTGTGATGCATACACCCAGGTGGTTAATGGCAATCCATTTTCATTTAAAACTTTTATCTCATAAAAGGTCTTAAAAGTATGCCTTTAGAGGATATCTAGGTAATAGTTCTTTTGTGAAATAAGTTATGCATGTCAACTTTTTTCATTTACGTGAATGAATAAGGAATTCATTTTTAATAATGGCAGGTAGCGTTTCGTATTTAGACATTTTTAATTAAAGGATACGCATATTATATTAAGTAATGAATTAAACATATCAAGTAACAGTAATATAAAACAAGTTATACAATGACGAAACTAGTTGTAATTTTCAGGTTAACATGATCCTTTTTTTATTATTATGGAATAAATCAACATGTGAAATAGGTACGCTGCTGCGCTACTCCAAAGTACGTTTGATAACCTCCTCAAAGGGCTATATCAAGCGATGACATAATGTCTTCAATAATTCATCGAATTCATAATCTATAATTCAACCTACATGTATATTTTGTCGTTCCTGGTACGCGTTATATGAGTATCTTAAGTGTTTATTATCTCAAACCAGTACAACTATTTGTTTTTACAAGCAAAGACAAGATGGCTAGGATAACTTCACCTTTATGAGGCATATAAAATACAGTTAAGTCACATGCTCTTTTAGTTGATATATCTGTGTTTTATAGCATAGCACTAATTTTCGTGGATAGGTCAATCCAAACAACGAAGTTTTATTTCGTATGCTGTACAATTATTATTATTATGTTACTTGCATTTTACTTTTTTACACAAACGGACAATGCACGAATTTAAGAATAAACAAAAAATAACAAAAAAAAAAAAAAAAAAAACAAAAACAAACAACATTTTGACAAAACCACGAATTTCTATGTTCACGAATTATTAAAGTGACTTCACAGTACGCATAAAATTGTTACAATATACAATTGTAATGTAATTATTGAATTATTGAAAATACCGGAACTAGCAATGCGTCATTCGCCACGCGGGAGCAACATTCAAAAGCAAGCATTCTGTTGACCTTGTATAAAATCCAAGGAGTTTAAATAACAATAAAAGAAATAGAATAAAAATCTCGTTTTGAAATGCACTTGTGCTAATACAATGTTTACAAAGGAATTCATAATTAATTGCAATATATCAAAGCACTTTATACTCTGATGTCCTTATAATACTCAATTAAAAAAAACACATTGAATTGTACTGATTTTTTTTTATATTCATACGCCAGTAATTCGTCTGATAAGAAAGGTGAGTCAGTTGGTGAGAAATGGAAAGGAAACGTCTATGGAATCTGTAATAAGAGAACTTGAATACAATCAGCTGCTTCGAGCTCTGCTTGATTTAAGAATGTTTAGCACAAAGTCGCTTAGTCTGTGAATCTTTGTCAAGTTGATCATAAGCAGGCTGAGAAAAGGTCGAACTTACTCCGGGACCAACTGACTAAACGTTGAGAAAGACTAGCACCTGAGGAAAGGATAAACATACTCCAGGACCAACTGACTAAACGTTAAGAAAGACTAGCACCTGAGGAAAGGACGAAGTTACTACAGGACCAACTGTTTAAACGTTGAGGAAGACTAGCACCTGAGGAAAGGACGAACTTACTCCAGGACCAACTGACTAAACGTTGAGAAAGACTAGCACCTGAGAAAAGGTCGAACTTACTCCAGGACCAACTGACTAAACGTTGAGGAAGTCTAGCACCTGAGGAGAGGACGAACTTACTCCGGGACCAACTGACCAAACGTTGAGGAAGACTAGCGCCTGAGAAAAGGTCGAACTTACTCCAGGACCAACTGACTAAACGTTGAGAAAGACTAGCACCTGAGGAAAGGACGAACTTACTCCAGGACCAACTGACTAAACGTTGAGAAAGACTAGCACCTGAGAAAAGGTCGAACTTACTCCAGGACCAACTGACTAAACGTTGAGGAAGTCTAGCACCTGAGGAGAGGACGAACTTACTCCGGGACCAACTGACCAAACGTTGAGGAAGACTAGCGCCTGAGAAAAGGTCGAACTTACTCCAGGACCAACTGACTAAACGTTGAGAAAGACTAGCACCTGAGGAAAGGTCGAACTTACTCCAGGACCAACTGACTAAACGTTGAGGAAGATTGGCGACAAGTCTTAAGCACATAATTATGAGTAACAGCAAAATTGATCAGCATTATAAGCGGGCATAGCCAAATATGCGCCTTGGAAAAGAAATATACAATGTTACAATTTCATAAAATAAATCAAATGAGCAGTTATAGCTCAAGAGATAATAAACAATTTTCAACAAATTAAACATTTCACGTTTGATTTGTGTGAATAATCCACATAATAACACTGAGCAACTTTTGATTCTTCTTAAATTTAATCATGAAATGAACATGATGTAAAAAGTTGAATAATTGTCTTTACTACGGGACACTATTGTATAAAATACAAGAGCCCCACCGCCCCCACCCCGCACACCAGGACGGAGACAATTTTGACCTTATTTGAACAGACTGGGTGGTGATGCACTAGAAATTTTAACGCTAAATATTTGCAAATTCAGATGAAAATATCATTACTACAGGAAAATCTATGAGCTACGGGCAAAGCAAATTTTATCCCTAAAGCTATTATTTGAACAAATTTGGTAGACGTCCATTCAACAATGTTTCTTGATGTATATCTCGATTCTTTGTGATTATAAAGGACAATATTTTTAAGGTTTTAGTATATTCATAAGTACACCAGTATAAGCTAAACTTCATGACCCCAAGGAAGGAGGAAGTTTGTCCTTATGGTTTGGTAGTGGTGCCAAATAACTAAGGTCTAGGTATTGTACTTTCGGAACAAATCTCACTTTTTTATATTTTGTTACAGCTTCTGTGATCTAGATATGCAATTGACACCAACCTGGTAGCATCTAGTGCAAAGAATGTTTCTGTGAAGATTTATCAAATTAGTATGTGTGGTGTTAGAGGAGATGCCATTAATTGTTGGCGACGGGCAGTCATCGTCACACCACGTGACAGGTGTAATGATAATCAAAGGGCTGCACGCTCTGTGGTATTTTCTGATCTTTGCAATCTATCTGTATGTACTTTCCTGTATAAGTCTATTTAGATATACTATAATCCATACTGCAGGGCACCGAGTTGCTGCGACTGCATTTAGTTTTTTGCTATAACGTTTTGAGTTTGATACACACTGAATTTGCATGACCAGAGTTTTTCATTTGCATTATGAAATAATTTATGTACATGTTTTATGACAGCAACACTTTATCATTGCATATCGTGGCCAATTCCAGAAGAATCGCTAAAAAGATACTTAAAAAATCTAAAAGATATTTAGTTGCCGAATCCAAGTCCTCTCACTAACCATGGGCCACGGGGGAGTTATACGTGAAAGACTGATTCAAACGATTCTTAATTTAGAATTTCCATACCGTCTATTTTTACAGAATTCTCCCCCCCCCCCCTAAATTCTGATTTTCTCTTTTTTCTGTAACTTTCTAATTTCTTCATGGATTTATTTCCATTTACAAACATATGTTCATTATTAACACCTTCATCATATCTGATAAGATATATAAGTCTGGCGTCTGGGTTTCCATGATTATTTTCTATTGAACTTGGAACGTATTTGAAAATTGTTATTTATATTTTTTTATTTTCTTCTTTGATACTGTAAGTGGTATCTCCTTTAGACTAAGATAATTGTTCCATGTCAACAGTCACGTCATCTATGTTTATAAGTCTAGCTTCTTCTTTTTTTATAGTTATCTCTTCTTTTGTTTAAGACTTTTGCTTTAAAAATCTAATCCTTATTAATTTCGAGATATTTTGTTCACGTAAACCTGTTGTTTAACACTGATGTAAATAATTGACATTACGCTTGCTCCGCCCACTGATTCACGTGACCCGGTCATTCATAGTCTAGTCAATCTGGCAAAAAAATAGCTGAACCTAGAAGTAATTGCAAAAGAAATAAAACTTATATTTTCATTTTCTTGAATCCTTCATTGGTGTGTGCGAAAAAGTTGCAAATGCTGTTGAAAGGGGAAAATTCTGAAAAATGGATAAAAAGAAGGTGTCTCGTTTCAAATTATTATATTTTCTTTATTTTTTTAGTTTTACAACTTGAACATAATCGTTAATGATATCATTTCAATATACATAATACACATAGAAAATATAATAGTGGTGATTCTAAAACACTTTTATTAAATAAAAGAACACAAATAATCTTTATCATTTTTACGTTAAAAATGAGGGGTCAAAACATTTACCC